TCTCTCTCTCTCTCTCTCTCTCTCTCTCTCTCTCTCTCTCTCTCTCTCTCTCTCACATACACACACACACACACACACACACACACACACTCACTCAAAAGCTATCAGCCAGCTTCGGGTTAGTGGCTAGATAGGAGTGGTCGGCAGATCAGAAAGTCCCGAAGGGTCTATCGCAACTTTACAGGATCACGCTCAGATAGTTGCGATGGAATGTGGATTTGCGTGGATCAGTGTAAAGGTCAAGTCAACAGGGTGACGATCGTTGAGAGACGTACTGAGTGCGTGGCAGCTGGGATCGTCAGTACTCATACAGGACTACGAGATTGTGGTTGGTTGGCCAAGGGCCTACGTGTATGAGAGCAGGGTAACCTGCTTGTTTTATTTTGATTGATTATGAGTGGAAGTTGCGCATGACGAGATGTCATTTTTTATTATCTTCGTTGTTCAATTTTCGGTCTCACGAGGCCTTTTGATTTTTAAGTTGTGTGGGTGATATGGATGTACATGTTTCCATTGAATGAATGAGTGGCAAGTGTTTCCCCCCAAGTGAGCGAGGGTGTAGAAAGATGTTTGTTTCTCTTGTTATAAATGTGTATGGTGATCGCTTTCTTGTAAGCGCCTAAGTATCTAGGCTTGTTTGTTGTCTTACATGGATCCTTTGAGCACTCTTGCATGGAATGAAGTGTGTTTGTCTTTTTGTTCCTATATGGATGTATGTATTTTTAAAAAATAGTCCCCCACATTTAGCATAGTACGAACATGGGAAACACTTGTTACACTCTTTTGCTTGCACGAGAGCGCGCAACAAGCGTTCGTCATCGATTTTTGGGCATACAGGTAATGAATGGATGGAGCATACTTTAATTTTTGTGTTAGCCTACATAAGTGAGGGTATGCGTATAACACTTTCGTTGTACTCTTCCACATGCATCAAAACTTGTAATTGTTGACTACGATGTACACCACAACAGGTCATGTGTAAATGATGAACTTTGTATGTTTCGTGAATGATTGCTGCGTGTGATAAATTTCCCCTCCTAACTTTTTTTATTTATATCAACCATCTCCCGTGAAACAAAGAACTTGAAGAATTATGTTATTCGATGCATGTGGGTATAAACATTCCGCGCCTCATCTATGCGATCATCTCGAGCCGTTTCCTGAACTTCTGTATAACGACAAAAGCACGCGTGTCTACAAATAGGACATTCACGAGGCAACGACCTGGATTGGACAACCTCATTGTTTTCCCACCGAAAACCAAGAGAGAAGGTTAATAACAGTCATATTTTTCATCACCGCTTTAGGACACCCTTCACCACTTCAGGATGCAGCCTTCCTAAACAAGTGGTTTTCAGGGTCTTCGGACTTTTCACCACTCCAGGACCATTCAGGTCTAAAAATCATGAATGGTCCTGAAGTGGTAAAAACTCCGAAGACCCTAAAAACTACCTGTTTAGGCAAACTGCATCCTCAAGTGGTGAAGGGTGGTTTTCATGGTCTTCGGACCTTTCACCACTTCACGACCATTCAGAATTTTCAGACTGCTCAAAACTCTCACTTGACCACTTCAGGACACCCTTCACCACTTCAGGATGCAGCCTACCTAAACAAGTGGTTTTCAGGGTCTTCGGACCTTTCCCCACTTCATGACCATTCAGGATTTTCAGACTGCCAAAAACTCTCACTTAAGAATTTTTATTCCTAAATTTTCAGCTACCCGATAACCGCTTGTGAAAACCAGTGCTCCACCTTTGTTAAAGCACTAGTACCTTTGGCGCGTGGGAAAATAGGAAAAAATTGACGTTTTCCCAAACTCCTAAAGTTTTGGAGATCGGGCTCGACGACGACTGCCATTGATAAATATTATCGGCATCCATCGTTTCGTTTCGGCCTCCAGAAAGGTCGGAGGTCCACCGGAGGCCCGCTATTTTCCCACGCGCCAAAGGTACTAGTGATTTAACTCAGGATTTACAATTATTTACATGATTCTCTCCCCTTCTCTGTTGTACTTTTTTTTTTTTTTTTTTTTTTTTWTTATGTGGTCCGTTATTGCTCCCCGCTAGCTTCATATTGACACTTTGTGGTCAAATCGTTGTTGTATGATAGGGTACATGAGAGAGAGAAGTTTCAACTACGTACCTCGTGAAGAGACAGGGGTAGCAAAAAGAGTCATGCGACTGTGCCCCCCCAATTCTGACTATGAGCTCTGAGATATATCATCGAACACTCGTCCATAGTCGAGATCCTACATATACACAAGTCTCTTTTCGCCCCTGTAAATGATGTAGAATGGTAAAGGAGGAACTCCCTAAGTACTTTTTGAAATAGCAAGACGTTGTCCTTCCCACTATCTTATTTTGTCCCTATCCATAATTGGAACCAACGCTGGAGATTTCAGTTCCGATATGGAACTTCACACCCATCTTTCCCAAAAATTATTGACACACCCCGTGTTACGACACACTTTCCTAACTCTTTCGCATTTCAATTTGCCTCCGAAAGGAAGCAGCGTGAGGTGAACGTCATGAGGCACACAAGCCCCGTTTTAGTTGGATGAATCCTGGGAAACCATGCCCTAATACTTACCGGAAGTTGCAGTTGCATGCAAACCGCATATATGATTTTTTTGTTGGGAAACGTACTGGTGGTTTACATTTTTCGAGTCTTATTCAGTACACATGACATTCTACTCTCACATTCTAATTATCTACGAATTTCTTATTCATCCAACTGATATGCCTCACCGGGGTCAGCTGTTTGGTTGTATCTCTTACCAAGTCAACCATCTCTCACCAAGTCAACCAATATCGGGTTGCATCTGTCACCAAGTCAACCTAAATGTAGACGTGGTTTCACTTCAAATAATGAAAAAAATGCACTGGCACACTATCATAGAGGTAGCACCACTGGTTGGATAGGCTTACCGCTAAGGTGAGCGGTACTGGGACCAACAACTATTTGTGCTGGTTGGGAGCACCCCCCTTCTATTCAAAGTTATTTGATCTTATCGTGATCCGAACTCATAGGTGTAACATTCATCCACAAGGGCTTGGTCGACCAACCTCTCTTGTCAATTAGCTGGAAATCGAATACTTAGGGGGGGGTGGAAAAAACAAAACTATTGCGAATGCGGGAACACAACGATTTTTATTTTTTTTAATTATTCAAAATTTTGAAAAGAAAACAACAAACAAAAAGTGGATCTTGATTGTCTTTGGCTGGTTTGAAACCAGTGAATACTAAACGAGCATGCTTTGGGGATCAGACGGTAGGGGGTGGGCATGAGGGAGCAGGAGAGGGAGAGAGAGAGGCAAGAAGGGGAAAGTCTTAGAGTGTGGGATGAAC